GTTGCCTCCCAAATAGTAATTATAGAGTTTTGTTCAGTTTTTAATGCTCTTTCATATGAAAGAGTCAGAATTTAGAAACAACTCAAAAATTTATTGATTATTTACTGATTATTATTAACTAATAATTAATTAATAATTAACTAATAATTGGCTAATAATTAACTACAATAGAAGTATAATTGCTTGTTACCTAAATGTAGCCCATTAAATTCTTCGTCGAATGGTATATAGAACATCTTCCAGATGTTGTGAAATGACGGAAAAATTAATCAAATACTAAAAGTATGCTAAACTTTTTTTTCCTACTTTATATGACAGTGTTCAGTATTTTGACTATAACATCATCATTACTCAATGAAAATCGAAAAATTTGTTTTACCAAAATGATCAGCGAAAAAAGCTCTACGAAGTCTGATATGAGAGAAAACTTTCAGAGTACCCTTATTATTCGTTCATGAGTAAAAACAAAAATGTACATGCTTTTTTGGGCCGCGCTCTGTATGTATTAACGGGACATGGTGGTGCTATTATGGAAATACAATGGAGTTTAGATGGTAGTGAACTTGCTTCATGTGCTACTGGTTTGTAAAACTAAAGCTTGTCTAAATATAAATTATTTGTTTATATTGATTTTATTTAGATAAATTAGCTTATATATGGGATATAACAATATGTCAACGTGTTAAAAAATTAAAAGGACATCAATCATTTGCTAATTCAATTGGTTATTCACGTATAGGTAAAGATATGATATGTACTGGTTCAGATGATCGTACTGTTAAACTTTGGGATAGACGTAAACGTGGTGAAGTTATGACATTTGATTCAGAATATCAAGTATTAGCATATTGTTTTAATTCATCATCAGATGCAATATTTTCTGGTGGTATTGATAATACAATTAAAATATGGGATTTACGTAAACAAGATGTATCTTTACGTCTTGATGGTCATCTTGATAGTCCAACAGGTCTTGAATTAAGTTATGATGGATCTAATTTAGCATCAAATTCAATGGATTCAACAATACGTATTTGGGATATACGACCATATTTTAATGGTGTTGATCGTTGTATTAAATTTTTACAAGGACATCAACATAATTTTGAAAAAAATCTTTTACGTGTGGCATGGTCATCTGATGGAAAACGTATATCATGTGGAAGTGCTGATAAACATGTTTATATTTGGGATATAGCAACAAAAAAATTCTTTATCGTTTACCTGGTCATCTTGGTAGTGTTAATGAAGTAGATTTTTATCCAAATGAACCAATTATTACATCATGTTCATCAGATAAGACTGTTTTTCTTGGGGAAATTGAACCTTAAGAAAATAAGTGAAAAAGCAAAAGTTGTTGTTTTTTTTTCTTCTTTGACTGTTTCAAGTGCTGTGCGTATTTAAAAACTGTCCAGAATATTTGATTGTTGTCTCTTCTTTATTATTGTTATTGTCTTTGGTGTGTCTGTACTCTCGTATAGAAAAATACAATTGTCAAACAAATGTATATGCTTGTGTGAGAGAGAGAAATAAGAGAATGTTCTTGTCTTGTTCAATAGGGAGAATAAGGTTAAGTTAACGACTAATATCTCATATAAGTTCAAACAAGAAATCATTCCTATAACGAAAAAAAAACCTTTAATTTAGATGAATATACGTGGCCAACTCAAAAAAGAACTGAAACAAAAAGATCCAAATGCTCGAGCAATTTCTGAAGATCAATCATTTGCTGAAGCAGCTGTTAATGCTCTTGAACAACGAACATTACTTGATATTGATGCAGATCCGTAAATATAAAATTATTTTTTTCTTTTGCTTTATTCAATTTCTTTTACTTTTGTTGTAAACATCTAGATGGCATGCACGCCATACGAATATTATTTGTACATTAGGTATATTTTACTTTCAATCTATTATGAATAATAATATATTTTATTATTTACATTTCTAGGGCCGACATCACAAAGTGTTGAAATCCTTACAAAAATGATCAAAGCCGGAATGAATATAGCTCGATTAAATTTTTCACATGGAACATATGAAGTAAATTTAAAAAAAATGAAAAGTTTGTTTAATTATTTTATTTATTATTGATTTAGTATCATAAAAAAAGTATTGAGAATGTTCGTATAGCTGAAAAATTAACAGGAGGAGCAGATGAATTTCGATGTGTTGCCATTGCATTAGATACTAAAGGTCCAGAAATTCGAACAGGCATTTTAGCTGAAGTAAGATTTTAAACTCTTATTAAAAAGAACTTCAACAAACAAAACAAATTTTCTTTTGAAGGGTGTTAACAGTGAACTTGATTTACAAAATGGAGAGATTGTTCGTATAACAACAGATAAAACCTATGCAGATAAATCTACCATAGATAATTTATATGTTGATTATGTAAATATAGTTCATGTTATTAAACCAGGAAATCGAATTTTTATTGATGATGGCCTTCTTTCATTACTGGTTAAAGAAGTTGGTTAGTAAAATTCAATTTTTAAATTTTATTTTAATGTCTTGTATTTATAGGAGATAATTATCTTAAATGTGAAATTGAGAATGGTGGTTCATTAGGTAGTCATAAAGGTGTTAATTTACCAGGTGTACCAATTGATTTACCTGAAACATCAGAAAAAGATAGACACGATCTTGAATTTGCTATAGAGAATGATGTAAGAAAATATAAATTAGTTTTTTTTTGAATTTTGTTTCAAATAATTTCTGTTCTGGTTTTTCTTTTCGTAGATCGATATTATTTTTGCAAGTTTTATGCGTGATGCTGATGGTGTTCGTGCAATTCGAAATATTCTTGGTGAAAAAGGAAAAGATATTAAAATAATTGCAAAAATTGAAAATCAACAAGGAATTCACAAGTATAAATAAATATTAAAAAAGAAAATCATCAATTTGAATTTCTTGTTTATAAAGTTTTGATTCAATTCTTAAAGAAGCTGATGGTATTATGGTTGCACGTGGTGATATGGGTATTGAAATTCCTCCACAAAAAGTTTTTGTTGCACAAAAAATGATGATTGCTAAATGTAATCTAGCTGGTAAACCGGTTATTTGTGCTACTCAAGTATAAATTTTACATTTATTAAAAGAAAAAAGATAAATCAAAATATTTTATATTGTTTATACAGATGCTAGAAAGTATGACAAAAAATCCCCGTCCAACTCGTGCTGAAGTCAGTGATGTAGCCAATGCAGTTTTGGATAATGCTGATTGCATTATGTTATCGGGTGAAACAGCAAAAGGCAACTATCCTATACAATGTATTCAATTAATGCATGAGGTTTATTTAAAAGGAAAAAAAATTAGAGAGATAAATAATTTCTATGCATGTAATTAAGATTGCTCGAGAAGCTGAAGCTTGTTTATATCATCGAGAACTTTTTGAAAATCTTAGTTATTTGACTAAACCACCATTGGTAAATAAATTTGTTTTTCTTTTTGTTTCGAAGATATTCAATCGAAATGTAATTGTATTTAGGATCAAATGCAATCAGCAGCTATTGCTGCTGTTGAAGCAGCTTATAAAAGTTATGCGTCACTTATTGTTGTACTAACACATTCAGGACGGTAAGAATAACAAACTTTTTTTGCTTTCAAATTTGGAGTAATAATGATAAGTTTGCGTTTTTCATTGTGTGACCTCGAAAAATTGTACGAAAAGTTCGGATTTATTTTTATTTAACTCGTTCTTTATGACATTGGTTTGAGTTCAAGTGAGTGCGAAATCATTATCTGTTAAAAACTTTAGCAAACTGATCGTTCTATAAAACTTCATCGAGAATGATTACATATGGTAGTAAACATATGCCCACCAGAAGAAGAATAAATTTATTGCACTTATATTTGATTTCTTGTGAAAATGTACACATGGATTGCTGTTTTAAAAGTAGGTCATAAATAAATAGGAGCTATCCATAAAGAACACTCAGAAATGAGGAGAAGAGGACAGAGCATGTTCAAGATTGTGTCAGCTCACTTTTGGACGTCTCCTATTGAGAAGGTTGTGAGCACCATCCCTGTAGTTTCTACATCCTTTTACTTGCCTAGTTCTTCAGAAATGTAATAGAAAGTTTGTGGGAGAAAAGGGATGATTCCGATGTCTACTTGTATACTTCAACATCCCTTTTAGATCGTATTTTAGAAACAAGTAGAAAATTATTTAGAAGAAAAGAACCAATTGCTCCAAATGATCCGTTTGTTCAATCCGCTACCGGAGCATAGTTCGCATTCAGACAGACATTAGCTGAGAAAAACGAAAGTAACCATTTTAACTATTCAAATAGTATTAAATAGACTTATTCTCAATAGAACGAACGAACACCTCTTAGCACCAATCTGAATCTGCTTACACTCATTAGAGGTAATTCGGATCAAAAATTAGAAAATTGGTTTTGTTCTTATTCGCTCTCAATCATTGTAGATCGTAACAAGGTGATTTTTGGAGTACAACTAGAACAATCTGTCCTCTTTCTAATGCTAAAAGAATTTTTTTAAATCTCCTACTGGAAAAAAGTTATAGTTAAAATGGTAAAAGACTACTCGTGCTGATCCGAATTACCCCAAATGGGGTAATTCGGATCACTCCAGCAAAAATGTATAGAACAAGTTTTCCCATCTCATAACTCATTTTTTATCCATTAGTATATGGAAAAAAATGATATCGTTGGATAGCCCAAGGTGTCTTCTATGGGACCTGAAAATATCTCAATGAATGAGCGAACTGTTGTAATATAGTATTTACAACACTGACACCTCTATTAACCAGTTCTTTTAAGGGAAAAAGGAATTCAGGGTAATTCAGATCACCTAAGCAAAACTTGTCGGGGTAATTCGGATCACTCCAGCTAAAATAGCTGGAGACCACTTTTGAAACCTCTGTCACTTCTACAGTGCAAATTCGACTAGTACTTCTCAAGGAAAAGTTGTTCATCTCATTGTCCTCTATCTATACGTGTAAAATAAGATGATCTTCATTAGAAACAATTAACTATTTTTCTAAATAATCGAATGGCCCAAAAAAAGTAATTTTTTTTAACATACCCCACTCTCTTTCTCAAATTGCTTCACACCTAAATAGATCGTAAGAAAAAAAAATTGGTGTTTCAGATGCAGAAATGTTTGCGCTACAAAATGGTATGAAAGAAAAAAATATTGATGACTCATACTATTGAGTTATACTGCCATTAATCATAGGACAATATATTATTGTATAGTAAAATTTTCATTTTATTCAAGTTTTAATCTAAATGATATAATAAATCGCTACAAATTAATTTATACAGAATACAAATATGGTTTATTGGTCATCTTTAACTATAAAATAGATTAAAACATACTGATCTAATGAATTAAAATAAAAAGAAAACATTCGAAGCATACAATCTGTAGGGTGTGGGTGTGGATCCTTAAGAGAAAAATTCACACGTCCACATCCGCAACCTCATTCTTCGATTTCCATTAATAAATCGTCATTAGCAAGTCAACATAGTACCTTTGCTTGATTTACGTTATAGCATATGGCCTTATTCTGAACACATTTTTATCTTTTGTAAATTTGCTGCTCCTCAACCTATCTCATGCTTGTTGTCTTTTCCTAAACCTACTCTTCATTCATTTCAAAGAAGCGCTGATTACTCATCACAAGCTAGTGATAGCTTATCAAATATCTGTCAACCCTTACATAATTGAGCTGCTTGAACAATAGTTTTTCTTCCAATCAAATAACAAGATACTTTCTAGAATAATGCTCTTAAAAATACCAACTTCTCCATAATCATCGAATAGCTGCACCCAATAGCGTACGATCTTTAAATATTCTATTAAATGTAGCTCTTCACATGGAATATTTTACACCAGCTGTCTAAATCGGAAAAATTCAAACTATATTTATTTCTATTATTTAAATGTATTTTGCTTGTTTTTTACGAAAACTCAACGTATACTTTATACGCAGTGTGTTTTCTTTTATTTTAATTCATTAGATCAGTATGTTTTAATCTATTTTATAGTTAAAGATGACCAATAAACCATATTTGTATTCTGTATAAATTAATTTGTAGCG